CGAAATGGACTTCCTCCATCCACAGTAGGGTCTGAATCAGGCCTTTATTGAACCCTTAGCCTGTGGCGAATCCCAAGAACCAATCCTGCCATCCCGAGCAGACACTGCTTGCATGGGTTTGGAATTTGGGTGTGTCCCTTTCTTTTAGGGAATGCCTTTTTGGTGTGGTGTGTAAGGGAAACCAAAAGGAATTTTGCAGACATCCTTCTTTTCACGTATCCCGGATCCCCTACGGCTCTGACATCGACCAGTCACGGCCAACAATATCTCCTCAGGAGCCGCCAAATGAGATTTTGACGGGAGGGCAGAGTCATCTATCAACCAAAAGGACACCCATCCCAAACCTTCCAAAGACCTGGTTAAGCTGAGTTGGCAGAATTCCTGCTTTATCCTTTTCATTAGGTGTCCTTTTGGTGGTTAAAATCGGGTTTTGCCAAAATGGCTGGTCAAAATGGCTACCCAAAAAGGAATGAATGAAATGGACCCAATATCTGCCATACCCAAATCCTGGCGGTTGAACTTTGACCCATACCCAAATGGCAGCTGTCTCCCAACGGCGGTGTGGTCTCCCTGGAAAAACCACTTTGCCACGATCATCACGATCCCCTTAGAAGTCGTGCCGCAGCCGGCGAGCTCGGAGAGCCATCGCGCCGGCCGCGCGACCGCGCCTCCCTTGGCCCACGAAGGCGGCGAGCTGCGCCAGGTCCGGCTCCCTGGCCTTGACCAAAAAGTAGTGTGAATTAACTTAGAATTAGTGCTACGTATGCGCACCCAAGATGACCGTACGTTTTTGCCGCGTTGCTTTTTGTTACAGAGGTTGTGCGGTTCCCGCTGGTTGCCTGTAGTCCGCACATCTTGCTCCGACTGCCAAATACCCGCCCACCCACCACCAGACCTTTTCCGGCCGAAATGCCAATCCTCCCACCATCCACCCGCAAGAAAATGTCCACTTCACACCCCCCCCCCCAAGCCCAAGGAACAAAACACGGCTTCCTGAAATGCCCCCCAAAATTGGTCCTGGAAAGCAACCCCGTCCAACCCGCCCCAACGCATCCGCTTCGGATCCGAGCCGCAGGAGCACCCAGCGGCGCAAAGCACGGCCGCGCCGCGTCGGCCGCCGCCGTGGCCAGGCGACGCGAATGCCCCGCAATCCGCATGGCGCCGAGGTGACGCGCGGATCCGGCGAAACGGCACCACCGAAATTTTCAGATGTCGGGGGGGGTGGATTGTAGTAGCATGGGTGCAGAGTCTCTTTCAAACTCGGAGTTTAACGGGTGGAGGTTTCAAGTTGTTGGAAGAAGGCACCAGTCATTGGCATGTCACGAGTCATGAGGTACTTTTCATGATCAGAGTCCACAGAAAAATTGGCACCTCCCCACCAAGCCGGCCATGAACAAATCCTCTCTCAACCGCGTTTCGAGAGGATGAAATTTGTATGTAGATGCTCTCGGAGTTGCCTCTAGGACTCTTAAGTGGTTTAGAGCGAACCTTACACTGCGGGGCTTCGCAAGCCTCAACCATTTGGGTCTGTCTTCCTTTTTTGAGGGTACCTTTTTGTTTGCGATTTTACAGGGAAACCAAGAGGAAACCATTCTGCCATTTTGGCTTTGGGGTCCGATTCCTCGAAAGAGACGAGCCGCCCATTTGCTCCTTTGCTCGTAATCTCTCGCCAATTGAGCCATGGCCCTCGCGGAATGGCTGGACCCATCTCAACTGGATGGCAAGTGGGGGCTCCTCAAAAATGAGTTCCCTTTTTGGCCCATGGTTTTTGTGGGGCCCGCCTTTAAAGGGGGTCCAAAAAGGGCTCCATATCAGATTTTTGACAACCCACCAAGTCGGAAAGTGAGCAAGAAAACTCAAGATCCCCGAACAGGAGAAGGAAGCATCAATAAAGACATGCAGCCACATGCAGTGCATGAAGATAGTTCGCTTGTTCATAGAGTCCTTCGATGACGAACCCATGACGCCGGCGTATCGAATGCCGCCCATCCAGTTCAATCAGAGCAAGCGAGCATCGCGACGAATCCTCCTTTCACACGAATATACCATGCGCAATCATAGCGTGTCCCAAGTCGAGAACCCTCCAAATAGTTTGTTTCTTTCGGCGGCCTTCTCGGAAAACTACCCAAAGCCACGGGGGCCTTCGCCCATCGCATTAGATTCCCCGCCTTGATCAAGGCGACGGTGCCGGTCGCTGCCTCGGAACGGAGCCGCGCCGAAAGATGTCGGCGACCTGAGGACTGAAATACCGGGGGACCATGGGTAACTTTTCGTTTGCGGAAAATGTAATCTGCTTAGTGGTTGTCCCCAATGGTTATGCCATGTAAAGGATCTTTTAATCAACGCCAATAGGAAGGCCGTTGAGCCCCTAAAGACCGCAAATAAGGTCTTGGGACCCCAGGGTTACCTAAAGAAAGCTCGAGCCTTGCTTGAGACTCCAGAAAGACCACATGGCGCAGCTCAGAATGCCGCACGATTGCACCAATAGACCAACGGGACAACAAGCGCGGTTGCGATAACTGAATGTGGCTAATGCAACCCCTGTCTCAAGCCAGTGTCACCATCTGTATTTTGGGGCTGACAATCAAACCTCCTACTCTGCAAACCGTAGTGCGGCACCACTCCCATTCCATGTGGGCGCAAGGACAACCCAGGAAGCATAGGCGTCCTTTTGGTTGAACATAGATGCCCATTGTTTACAACCAGGTCAACCCAAAACGAAACATCTATGTTCGACCAAAACAGCCCCAAAAAGGACGCCTACTGCGGATAGACGAAATCCTGCACCACCTACGAAACCCTGGTTTCGGATGATTCCCCTGTACATATCAACAAACATTATGGTTTCATGGTTCACTTCGTGGTGAGAGCGGATATCGCAACCATCCATAGCACCTTTGGAGCTAGAAAAGCAATAATTCGAATCACTAGGTGAATAAGTTTGGTCAACAACCTACCGGCCAGCTCCGCCGACTGGTTGGGGATAGTTGACCCCCAACTAGCTCAGCAAAAACGGAGTCGAACGTCCGCGGATTCGCCCAGGGCCCCGGACCTTCTGGGCAGTCTCGCTCATCATGCCAAGGAGACCCTGCAGCTTTCCATCGGTGGCCTCGCAAAAAATGTCTCACGTTGGTACCTCGTCTTTTGTGTTGCGGGTATCCCTTTTTGGTGGTTTCAAGGGAAACCCAAAGGAAAACCACCAGTTTGCTGGTTCCACAAAGCCAGAAGGAAATCCATCCTTCATGCTTCTTTTCTTTTTTTGCTTGGGAGGGGTTCCCTAAAAAAAAGAATGGAGTGGGAGCAGCGCTGCCTCACCTGAAGCGAGCAATCAAATGGGTGTGTCTCCTTTTTGGCTGACCCCGCAGAATGGGTTGTGTTCCCTGTGGTGTCCCTTCAAAACCAACCAAAAGGAGGGGTACCCCACAAACAAAGACAAGCCACCCAAATCTCCGGCTACCAGAGAGCGCTCCGAACTGCGAACTCCCGGGCCTGAATCAGCTTCTCGGCAGCGAGGCAGAAGACCTTCAAACCGAGAGTCCATTCGTCGCAGGATCGTCGTGGTTTACTGGTGCGACGGTTCACCGATGGCGACAATGTGCGCCAAGTTCAATATGCGTTGTGTCCGCAAGCGACGTTTGGTCAACCACCAAGAACTGACACAGCAGCCATATTTGCAGGAAGGCGCCTTGGCACTGGCCAATGAAATCGATATGCCGCCAAACTTGGGAGTTATGGTGCTTGTTTTCCTGGAGTAATTGGGATTGAGAACTCCGGGATCCGAAAACTGCCAAAAGCAAGAACAGCGCCGGAAATCAGACCGCTCAGCCAAATTCACTTGCCACCTCGCACCGCCCGCAAAGCCCGTCGGCCCCTTTAGTGCCTGAAAGCTCAGCAACGCTCCCCCGCCGTCCGTGGGGTACACGTGCTGGGCAAACCTCAGCAGGGCATGTGGACGGAGCCCCTGGCCGAGAGGCCGCGCCGTGAAGGCGGATTCTTTGATCTCCATCTTCAAGCAGGGAACAGCCGGGATGTAAGATCCCCGGCTTGCATAGGATCATGCCCGCGAAATATGGAAATTGAACGGAGTTGTGAGCTTGACCCATCGGTCGATCGGTCGCACGCTTCAAGCCATGTGAGATGTGTTTCACAAAACGGCGTGTTCAGGTGATGAGTTTGGCAGCCTGTCAGGTTTTCTTTCAAGCCCTTGCCAGTCCAGCATCTTGCCAAGTGTGACAAACATGGAACCCAAATGACCCGGAAACCAAAGGTTGTAAGCTTTCCTTGGGGCAGGTTGACAAGTTGTTCCTCCGCACAAACATGTTCTTCCTGCCCATGGCTCATTGCATTTGCACCGAAGCTCGTTGGTAAACTCACAAAGCCACCAAGCCAATTGCCAACGATTCGACGCGCTTCTTGTGCAGTGTCCCCTGAGCATTGGTGCCAAGTGGATACGCAATCGCCTCCAAACTGTCCAAACTCGGGCAAGCATAGGTGACCTAAACTGGAAATGTTGGAAACACATAAGCCAGCAGAACCCATACTATTTCTACCCAGACTAAGCTGGGTGTGGGTCAATATGGAACCCTGGCAAATGGAAACAAGGACTAAAACCTGCGGTCCCGTGGTGGTGAAGACGTGGTGAAGACATTTGACCCACACCCAAGGACATCTATGCTACCGAGTGGCTCCGCCAGGAACCAGTCGGATTTCCAGAAGGGCATTGCCTCCAAGGCCGCTTTCCGCTTTCCGCAAAACGCGACGAGTCCAGAGCTATATGGGACGTCCCTCTACAATCACCCTAAAACACGAATGCCCAGGAAGGGGACACCCATGTGACTGTTCTAATCAGGCGACTTGTGAGTGTGTACATATGCACATGTACATGTATGAGTATATTGTGTATATATATATATATGCCAAAATTGCATTTTGGGGATGTGAATGAACCAGAAATCGTCCTTCAGAATCTTGAATCTTGTAAAGCGTGAATGTAAAGCCACTTTGAGGTAAATAGAGCTCAAAATTCCCCAGACACATGTTTCCATCATCTTTACTCTTGAGTCTCATCCACTTGTAGTAAGCGACTGGCATAAAACGCAACTGTTCAGCAAAAGCGTAGGACGCAAAGTACACATTAGCAGCTTCAAACAACTCTGCTATCGCTTGTTTACTCTTCTTATCATTATTTATTTCTGTTTTTTTGTTGGTGGGGGGGGTCACATGTATTAACGTTTTAATAATTCGCTGCAAATGCATGCAACATGCCAGGAAATCAAGACTCCGGCCTACAACCATGTGCTCTGACATCAGACCTACACAAACCTTTCCTAAACTAATTTTACAAGCAAAAAGAAAGTACCAACCATGAACCGTCACTCGGGAGGAGGGAGAGATGATTTTGGCGCATCCATGAGCCATGATCAAATTGAAAATTAGTGAGTCCTCTGTTTTGTGTGGGGAAATGTAGTCAGTCCCCCCTGCCCAGCCCAAACGAACCAACACCTGATTCTTGGACGGCTAGGTTCTTGAAGTTCGAGTGGCTTCCACCTTTGCTGTGTTTGCTACTTCTTCCCCGAACAAACTTCCGTCCCCACACGAATCGACTTCTTGGCCATATTTGTTCAAACTCTTGGCGAGCAAATTCTCTGAATCAGTACAGCAATCACCAGAATCAAAGGGAGCCAGTTGGCTCGCTCATCTGAAAGACAATCCTTTCATTCGTATTAGACGCTCTGCTTTGACCATAGGAATCATGGATGCTATGGGTTGCTGATATAATGTTGAGCCTGGCGGCGCACCACGTGTGGGTGGAAGCATCTGAACCTCCTGATGGCAAGCCAAGGGCACGCCTGTGGCAGACTCACCCTGGCGGCAGTGGCGCAGCACTGGGAAGCCAGCCCAACAAAAGGGAGCAACAGAAGGCCAACAGAGAACAGCTAAGGCAGCTCCCGATTGGTGGACGGTGTTCATATCTCAACATGTACCTTAGAATGGTTTGATTTCTGGGTTTCCCTTGAAGTACGACCAAAAGCGTCCAATACCTTGGAATGGCTTGATTTGTGGGTTTCCCTTTAAGTACAAGGGGTCGCCACTTTTACAAAAAATCCCACTGCCCATCCCCAGCCATTGGCAAATCCAGTCGAGTCCGGCCTTTCTCCGAAGGATCGGCGTCAGCGAGAGCTCCTGAAACCAAACGCATGAAGGAGAGAAGTCTCCAAGGAGAGATGACAACCATGGGTTGGAACCCCTCCGCATGGTGCGGGTTTAAGTCGGGTGACCCTTGGTTCGTGGTTTGGATTGGGATCTTTGAACCCTGGTTCTTGTAGGGGGTAAAGGGGGAAACCTCCCCCCAACCACCAAACCACCAAACCACCAAATATCGGAAAGCCGAATGTCCTTTCAGCCATAGCAAAACAAGGGCACTCATATGCGCGGGCGGGGTGACAAATATTTCAGTGAGATCCACTGGCACCCGCTTTCAACCGCTTTCAAGGCAGTGTGTTGCGCAGCCGTGGAAGGGAGTCGGAGCCCAAGGTCCGACATTTTGACCCACAACCAATGGGCGGACAATACACGTGGAGCTTGGAAGCATGTGAGGGTTGTCCAATTCCAAAATCGCCTTCCGCCTTGCCCTTCTGCACAGCTTCCGCGCACTTAAGCACTGCGAGCAAAACCGCACTTCATGGTATGGGCTTCAACATAAGTAGGTTCATACGAAGGTTAATTTAATTGTTAAGGATCAGGAAGCAAAAAGTGGAGCGAGCAAAAAGCGATGAAGCGCTGGAGCAAGAAGCAAGAGAGGAAGTAGGAACGGAGGGCGAAAGAAGCAGGAAACAGGAAAAAGAGCAAGAGCAGCAGGAGCACAGGGAGGCAGGAAAGCGGCAACCAACGCATGCTACATTTCCATGGTCAAATGCGAGAGGACTGGGCCAGCCCCAGTGCAAGGCGACCGAAGCAAAAACAAGGGGTATACAGTAGTCGTTGTATCGTTTCGAGCATTGTCGTTGAGTCCTGACACGCCGTTGCAACTGTTTGTGCTGCGTGGCACGGGCGTGCGTGCGCACGTGCAGGCGTGCTTGCATGACTGCCCACCTGTGCGCGTGTGGTGTGCAAGAGTGCCTAATTTCAGGCTCATCCGACTTTGTAAAGTGGGCTATAACCAGGAGTACAAAGGGACTAGGCCCACGTAACCCCAATTATAACCATGGCTAGTGTTAACTTCAAATTAATCCAGAAGACTGTACTAGTCAGCTAGTTCCCCTCGTACGCACACGATCCATTCTAGGGGTTTCCTGGATGAATCCGAAGCCAACATTATGACAATGTCTCTGGATGTTCAACCCACTTAGGTCGATTATAACCATGGTTTTGCGAGAACGAACCTCAGTTTACCGCAATTGGGTGTTGTTTCTTTGCTTTTTTGGGACCCCTAAAATTGTGTTTTTCTTTGGGGTACCGCCTCAAAAAACCATGGCCACAAAAATCGATCGGTGGGTCCCCGCCCATCTCCTGCTTTGGTAGCTGCTCCCTCAGGTGGTCCCGGATCTTCGCGCTGGCCATGCGGTTCTGGTAACGCACCTGGCGCGAATCGCCACGAGAATTGGATCGGGCGGAAGTCCGGAGTGATTTCTTTTGGGCGTGTCTTCTTTTAGCACCCCAAACAATATCCAGGGTTGGTGACCCTCTGCTCAACCAGCAGACTCCCAGTCCTCACCACAAGAGAGAAAGAGAGAGAGAGCACTGCGAGGCCTGACTGAGATGCAGCATAGGCGGCGCAGGGCTCGAGTTGAGAAGAAACAGACCTGTCTGAGAGTTCACGAATTCATTGAAAGGAATCCTTGGTTCCTTGTACAACTTGCACATAAATGCTGGTCGAGAAAACGGACCTGTCTCTCATTGAAAGGAATCCTTGGTACTTGCACAAAGTCCTCAGGTGTCAGGCTTCATCTTCAGCTGCGTTGCTTTTTTCAGGGTATGGAAGGGGTGCAAGCACCACCAGATGTTCAGGCATGAGCTGAATAAACCACGGCATCAAGTACCTGGTGCTTTGCCTATGATCAAAATGTAGGGCTCTCTATGCTTCCCGCTTCAGCACACCACTTAAAGGAAAGCACTTTAATTGGGCGCCAAAGGTGATGTTTACATCCACCACAGAGAGAAACCTCAGAACCCTCCTGCCTGCTCCAACATCTTCGCCGACAAGCATTCGCCTTGGGCCGCACCGCATGAAGCCGTCTTGGGCCCAAGAAAATGCCCCCAGAAAACGCTATCCCAAGCTTCCGCGCACAAGTTCCAGCACGTTCGCGTTCCTAGCCCGAGAAGCGCCTCCCGCCCATTTAGCACTTGCAAAGCTCCAAGGTCCTCGAATCCCTTGCAACATTCTCTCACACTCTGGAGGTTCAAGGCCAACCGCGACCGTCATCAAAAGGAAATGATTTAGTTTCCTTCCCTCAGTTTCCGTGTAGGTTGGGGGTACCTATCAGAAGGGGCCGAGTCCAAGCACCGGTTCCAAGGATCAACCTGCTGTGAATTAACTACGAGGCCGCAACAGCTGCTATTTCTTTGTGGTTCGGTTTGGGGTAAGCCCTCTGTAGAAAAGTTGCCGACGCCAGCAGCCGACCAGTCTAAAAGTCTCAGCGGATGGAAGTTGACACCTCCCTGCCAGCCTGTCTGATGTCTGAAACCAGGGTGTGGGGAACCCGTTCAGTTGACATCCTATGTCTGCAGGCCAACTTTGAAATGAAAGGGAACAAAGCAAACTGAGTTGCTTTTTGCTCCCCTGCTAAAAGTGAATAACTTTTAGTGGTTCAGTGGAAAACCCATTAGTTGGCAAAAAGTTAAAGTCCTAACAGCCAAGCAAAATGCACCAAAGCAAATACAGTACGTGGGCCTTCGTACAGCGCCATGTGAAGCAAAAGGTGCGAAGGCAAAATAGAGAGAGCCAGAGAGCCAGAGAGCCAGAGACAGAGCCAGAGAAAAGAAGGAACACACCAGGACATGAGCGTCAGCATCAAGTTGAGGCATCACTGACCAATGTGGTTAAAGAAAATGGAAAGTCGGAGCAAAACGGTAAGTGTCAAAGAAAAGGCAGTCACCCTTGAGCAAACCTGTATTCTATAGGGCCGTAACAAAATGGTGCAGCAATCCCATAATCTCCACTTGAACATACAAGCAAGGGATGTCCGATGGCTTTAACCGTGCAAAACGAGCTGCGAGAAGGAATTTTGCCCTCATGACGAGTAAAGCTCAACGGTCCTAGTGTTGCATCCGCACTGCCAGGACATGCGAGCGGCCTAAAACAACTAACCCTCGAAGCCAGCCACTTTGAATGCAAGTCTCCTGCACCGGTCTGAACCAAACTTCCCCCCTCCTCCTTTTGTTAAGAGGCGATATCTCTCAACGGCGGCAGATGCCCGAAACTCCCATCCCTCCCTGGACGCACAGCAAGTGGTTCTTGGTGTCGTGCAACTCCTCGCTTGGTGGCCGTGCTCCCAACCCCTCCCGCGTGAACTAAACCCCGCCGGATCCATGGCGAGGGGCTGGTGAAGGAGCAGCGCCGGATGAAGCACCCGCCGGGCATCCAGGACGCCTCGACGCGATCGCACGGTCCGGCTGAGCGCGACAGTGAGGTGGATGCCAAGGAGAAAACATTGATCAGCAAGTTGTCGATAAAAACAAATGCCGGGCGGCCGCAAAAGGGCCAGTGCTTTTCCACCTCACGCTGAATTCGCATTCTGACGCTGCATTCCAAAAACCTGTGACGCCGCATTCCCTGACGCCACATGTTTCCCCTGAAGCCGCATGCCCGGCTGACGCCGCATTCTGACGCCACATTCCCTGACGCCACATTCCTCCCTGACGCCGCATTCCCGGCTGACGCCGCATTCCGACGCCACATTCTCTGGCGCAAGATTTTCGGCTGACGCCGCGTTGTGACTCCGCATTCCCTGACGCCACATTCACCCCTGACGCCGCATTCCTGGGTGACGCCGAATTCCGACGCCACATTCCCTGACGCCACATTAATCCCTGACGCCGCATTCTTGGCTGACGCCGCATTCCGACGCCACATTCCCTGACGCCACATCTCTCCCTGACGCCGCATTCCCGGCTGACGCCGCATTCCGACGCCACATTCCATGACGCCACATTCCTGGCTGACGCCGCATTCCCCGCTGACGCCGCATTCTGACGCCACATCCCGCCCCTTTGGACCGCCGTGCTGGTTTCCAAGACTTTTGTATCTACAAGGAACTTGAACCCTTGCCCTGAGGCTACAACTTTCGACAACAAACGCATCCGCAATTCCCACTCCCATATTTCGCGCAATAGAAGAAGCGCCCATTACCTTCCCAATCTCTATCCGAATGACGAGCGTTTTTCACAGCTGATGCATGCAATGTGTCAGGCGCAGCTTGCTTTGAAGCGCGGTCGAAAGATCAAGCTATCATTGCTGGTCGAACATCCTGCTATCGTCGTCGCTCGAAGGCAAATCCTGCTCAAGGAAGGGCGCCGTAGTAGACAGTCCATCTGTGTCGCGCCCGGGCAGCTGTCCGGCGACCCTCAGTGACGCACCCCGTACGGGAAATTCACGAGACCTCTTGTAGACCCTACTGTTGCTGATTTGCGCCAACTGTTTCACACGCGCATCTCCAGAATAGTACTCGCCGATGACAATACTGTACGGAAACAAGAAAACATTTTGTGGTGATAAATGCAAGTCTCATGCAAATACTTTTGGTTTGCCCAGTGTACCGTGCACGACGACCATGATATCATTCACGATGAGTATCACGATCCCGCTTTGTATCTAACTGCAAATTCCAGTTGATCCCCACGTAGAGGAAGTCGCAAGGAAAATGCTTGATCACCGGTGTGATGCTTCTGCGATGGCCTTTCTACTCGCCCTCCACCGGAACCTTTCTAACAGAGAATCTGGTGTCTCCGTCCGATTGATCTTCTCGATAAAGCGCGAGGGCAGATGTATATTGCGTGAATAGCACCATTGGATATGAGGAGTGTCGACCTCTTTGACGCCCTGAGTGCAAATGATGGCGCCAAGCTCAAGTTTCAAGAACTTGCGTCCAATGTTCACATCTGTTCGGTAGAAGGTCATGTAATCGCAGATGAGGCCGAGGGCGATGCAACGGAAAATTGTGTCGCTGACGAAGGCAACGTCCTTCTGATGGCTGACACCTCTGAACTGCTCTGCTTTAATACCAAGTATATTGCAGGCGGTCCAACTCCGGTACATGATGTATAGCCCTCTCAGCTTCAGGAACCAAAAGAACATTTCTTCGCCCCTGCGGTTTGCGCTTTTGAACCTCACATTCTTGAACTTAGGAGCGGCAGTGACCTCTTCATAGGTTGGCGGGATTGGGATATTCTGTTCATCAACATCTTTGAAAATCCAATCGTCCCTCCCGTTGATCGAGATGTAGGGACAGTATAGTCCGCCATCTTTGCCAGGTTCCTTGACCACATCTGCCTCGTTGTTGGCGAACACCTTCCAAACTTTGAAAAGTACGACGCCAATGAATCCAGAGAGGTATGATGCCTCGCCGGCTTCGTCAACGCAGATGGCCTTGACTTGCAGGAGATGAATTGCGTCCGCATCCTCCTCTGGGTTGTCCGGACAAACTCCCGCGTCTTCATCGTCGATGTCCGTCCCGATATCCGACGGGATGTACGATCTGCCTGCAGACCGTTCCTCACTCATCTCCTGGGTGTCGGGTCGTTCTTCCTCGGCGACGAATCGCTCAGCATCTTCCTTTGCTTCTCGCTGAGCTTGTTTCACTTCCTCCGTCACATTGGTGGTGTCGGATGGTTTTGGCTCGTCGTCATCCACATGGGTCACGAACTTGCCGGTGGAAATGAACTCACATTCGCATGCCGCGCAGTAGCAAAATCCCCTTGGAATAATGATAGCGCACGCTGGGCATACTCTGTTGGAAATGCTTGATGGGTCGTCCTCGCGGTAGACGATGAATCTGCTAAGCAAATCCCTGATCTCTACCAACGATTTGCCCAAGGCTTCGGGCACTCCGATGTTGACGCAAGCATCGACGACCATCTTCTTCAGGATGTCGGCATCCGCTGAGTCTTCATCGTCCAGGAAACTGTTGAGGTGTCCAAGAAAGTCCGCCGGGGTCACGCCCACAGCGTCCTTGAATCCTGGACAGATCTCGCTCTCGACGGCGCGGGAGTAGATCCGCCTAACCTCTTTCACAGGCCCTTTCTTCGTGGACTTGAAGCTCCAGATTGCCCTTATCTCTTTGAAGGGAATGGTCTCGAAGGCAACGATCGTTCCTCCCGATGTGACCCCTGACTCGTACACGGACAACTTCCTTGTCGGCACGTAGATGGCGATGAGGTCATCTCCCTCTTTGACGTCGTGCATCGCAGTCTTGGTCGAGGTGTTTTCGCTGCCCCAAGGTGCAAGTACTCCGAAGTGTACTGCCAGCCTTCGCGCACTCTCATTGCCGCCAGGAACGATACCTCTCAATATGATACCTTCCAGGGCTGATGGCTTTGTCACGTGAAATGCTCCGCCCAAGCGATCGGACATGTTCGGGAACAAGATGTTGAAAAGTTCAGCAGGACGAGCGAATCCGAGATCCGAATGCCCTCATGACGCTCGAATGCACCATGGTTGCCACCATCCGCCATGCTCACGACAAATCCAGTCAATGTCGTTCTTCGCCCATCCAGCCGCTATGAGACCCGCCATCGTCTCCATGTCGATCTCCTGATCAAACTTCGCAGCAAGGATCTGCGGTCTCGGCTTTCGTGCTTTCCGATCCTCCGATCTGACGCACTCGGCAACCATTTGAAATTTGTCGCTCTTCTTGCACCGATCCTGCGGGAACGCGCTCTCGCGACCCAGGATGTGGTCGATGTTCACCCATCCTCCGCCATTGCAAGGAATAGGGTTCCCCCACTTTTGGCCAATTTGATGTCGTAGGATCTTCACCCGTGCTTTCGACGTATGGAACAAGTCTTGGTGGTGAATGTTAGATCCAAACGCTGTGTACTCGTTGTATGGCCAATAGGGAACACTTGTGTCTCTGTTCTGCATGTTCATGACTTCTAAGTGTAATCCCTTTGGCAGCGTGCTGGTCATACATGAATATCAGCCATCTCGGAGAGGTTCACGACGTAGTTGTACTTGTGGAACTCCTCCCCCGGATAGAAGATCGGCGCCTCCGCTTCCGGTTGATGCGGTTTGTCAGGTTCGCTGGACATCGGAGCCAATTCTTCATCATCATCAGGAGCCTCCATTTCGATGTCTTCATCGGATGAGGGACGCCCTTCTGGAAGAAACAGCATTGTGATCTTGCCACGCGCCGAGTCAAACTCAATTGCTCGGGCAATGTTTTTGCAAGTCCCTTCGTGGGATTCTTTCCCGCGCTTCATGCAAATCTGCAGTTCGCCAGCGCGATCGCAAAGATCCTCAAACATCCGCAACAATTCTGCTCGTCTTGAGGCGATGTCCTCGACTCTCGATTGTTTGGCTTCGGGCTCCTCGGCATCATCGGGTTCACGACCACGATCAGCCTCGTCCTCATCGGACTCGCCCGCTTTCCTCTTTTGGCCTGATGAACCGGCTTCCTCGATGTTGATGAACGGGTTCGAGTACTCCAGGCTGTCCATGATGTCCCTGACGGTCTTGCTGGGAACTTCCATGTACTTGACTGCGCCGCTTCTCTTCCTGTTGAGGCCCGTCATGTGAGAGGTCATGTTCTCCCTGACGGTCGGTATTGGCAAACGTTCCCCCACATTTGGCAATTCCTTCCCGAAGTAGGATATGACGTCGAATAACCCGAGAACGGTCTCCAGTCCATCTCCCAACTTCTCTTCATACAGCGTTTCCATAGTCGCGCCATACACGGACTGTGGTCTTCTTCTCCTTCGTTCCATCGGAATGGGTGGCGATGTACGACAGCTTGTCAACCCACAGTCGCTTCCCATTGCTACTGCGGAAGTAGTCTGCGAAAGAGCCCTTATCAAGTGTAATGCCACCGATCTGCGACAGCTCCTTCGCGAACTTCTTGTTGAACAGACTCACGATGAGGTGTTGCACGAAAGTTTCCATGCCCCCATCGAAAGCGCTTTCAGGCTCGTTGATGTCACCGAGCACCAAGCTGCAGTCAACAAAGAATCTTTTCATGATGTTGGGGCGGTCAGCCCCTTTGTACATGGTATTCTGCTCGATCAGCCCGTTCGCGCGGCAGTTGATACATGTATCCGCATTGTACTGGTGGTCGGCCGTGGGTTGAGCTCCTTCTGCGTGACATTGTGCGCAGAGTTAAATCCGCAACGTCTTCGAAGTAGTACCACTTCGTTCGCATGTCGTCGCCATCCCCCCTACCGAACGCTTTGCCTTCTCTTCGTTGCTCTTCATGATACTTCTTCTGTTTGTTGAAGTGAGCAGTGAAGTCCGGCTTGTGGCGATAGCGGGCATTACCGCCTGTTGCGCCCTGAGGCGCGTTGAATTGCAGCGGGGACACGCCCACACATGCATCTTCCAGGTCGGAGACCGTTTGTGCATCCAGCGTGAGCGCATCCATGATCATCTCGACGATCATC